TATGCTCACAGCATTAAACTACAAAAACACCAAAGTTCAGCATATCTGAAAACAGCTAATCGAAGTATCTTACCAATTCATCACGATAGGCATGACCAGATGTATGCAGCTGCTCATTCCTGCCCATGACTATTGTCGATCCAATTTCTGATATGCGGTTCAGCATTTTCATTACTCTAGTCTCATTACCAGGGATCACCTATAATGTAAAGTTTATAAGCAACTATGATATCCATCAAGTGAACTGCAGTGAATCTAAATCATGAATAATCATCGAAGGAATAGAAAGTTTTGAAAAATTAGGGAAATCTGCAATAGAGCCATTATTAACTATAATGGGGAGGATATAAAGAAATTTGAATGATGACACTGGTGCATTTGAATTATTCTTGGGAAAAATGTGCATAGATAGAAATAAGGAATTGATGTTCAGGATCATTACCATGTGTAATGTTGAACCACTTTATATAAAAGCTTAAGTTGTTAGATCGAGCCAAATGGTTATTACCTAAGCCCCAGTTTGTTTCCCATTCTTTCCTTTTTAAAATGAAAAATATGATCGTTATCCATTACATTAAACCATCAAATTTGAATTTATATCTCTTGTGTGAGGTCCGTAACAGCTATATTTTTCATTCTCATTCTTCAAAAAATGAGAAACAAACGAGAGCTACCTATTATCTTCAACATGTTCCCTCACACATGGGCGGGATTCAAAATGTTCCCTATCAAAACCTAACACGTAGTAAACTCATTTTAAATGGTTGACGGTGAGACTTAAACTCAATATCTTTACTGCTGTGACACCATGTTGAACCACCAATTCTAAAAGCTTAAATTGTTAGAATGGACCAAATGTTATCGTTTAAATTTTACCTTTCACCTGCAATATCGCAATTGCATATTATATGTGCTATGTATCGATATTGAAAAAATAAATAAGTATGTTTTTAGTTATATAAATACTAGAAACAGAAAATCATTTTTTTGTGTGCGTGCATTGCACACATGCAAACAAGTATTTACTGTGGTCGTAATTGTCATTTCACATTATTTGCACATTATCCAATCTGTAGTATTCTGGCCTATGTCTTCATGTATGGCCTCTAAACTCGTTTCGATATAAGATCTAACATGCGAGCCCGAGTTTTATTTTGTCACAGGCTCCAGCAATGACAATGCAACTATAGTTCTTAATCAGTAAGTTACATGTTCTGAACTATGCTACTTGCTTGTTTCTAAATCCTTGAATTATTTTGAGAAAAATTATAATTGAAATAAAAGTTTTGTAAACATAAAAGCATGCCATCTCCATTAGATCTATATGGTGCATATAAAAATATGGTGTGTATAAAAGTATTTAAAACAAATTTCTAATCATGAGGATAAGCTACAAAATATCAAAAACTTTTAATATATATTGAGATTGATTATTCAGCTCAATAAGCCACTCAAGTTGCTCAAGCATTTGGTCAGGTAAAGCATGCCCAAGCTGGAGCATCTAAAAAATGCATCAGCTCTCATCATTCTTATCACAGAGTATGTTTTAATGACTTTGAAACTTCAGTGAATGAATAAACTGTAAATTCATGAGCTTGGTTGATCAACATAAATTTTGTTAGTGGTACTAGGAGTTTTCCTTTTAGGAGGTTCGTTTAAGACAAACCCAGTTTCAAGATCCATTACCTTTGCAGAATATAAGATCATGTCTTCTTTGTTCAGCCTGAGAGAATGACTACTTCCATGGGATGCAAGATTCAATGCAGCGCGTGGTTCTGCCTGATACAATAGAACACTCGATCACATGCTAGTCTCAACATACTGAAAAAATCACAGTTGTAAAAAGGCAATTGGAGAAGGTAATAATGTCATTAAAGTACATGATATGATATAATGCTTCATGGTAACTTACTTGAGAACCAGTGGTGACGATAAGCAAATCCTTAGGGGCGTAGGCATCAATATCTTCCACTTTCACCTGTACACAAGAGCTACATAAAGAAGTGTACAGAAATGGTAATAGAATGCCATTAAAGTACATGATATGGAGGAGGAAGCAGCCTGCATATATTCCTGAACACTCAATCTTCCTTTCAAGGGTAAGATGAGAAAGGGGAAACAATGTAGATATCAAATGCCGGGAACACCAAACCATGTTAATGAAAAAGAAGTAAAAATATGTAGAAATCTACATTAGAAAACTTAATTCTGCACATGAAGGCATCAAGGATAAATACTTGGAAGTGTTTAAACTTTTGATACATAGAATGCTTCAAGACACTTCTCCCATAAAAAGATTATCAATTGGAATATGAATTATTCCATAGATGCCATAGTTTACAATTACATTAGTGTAAGCCCTGTTGTAGAAAGATGTAAACGATTCCTTACCAATGATGTGAAAATCAAATATGTAGAATATTCCTTGCTGATTTTTTGCTGAGCAGAAGGCTAGGTTTTTGCATATTAGCTAGCGATTTTTCCTGTCATTCGCTGTATTATTAATGGTAGATTTTTCTATTTTAGATAGATGATAAATTAGGATGGGATATATTCTATTATTAATCTACTAAAATCATGCTCCAGCAGACTGCATAATTGACTATAAAGCTACGAATCTCCTATGCATTTTTCACAAGTCAACAAGAATTATTCTAATCTTCCACAAAATCTGATTTCTTTATTAACCATTACTTTTACATAGATAAAACACTAAATTCAACTGCTAAGATCTCGACATTTTTCTCTCTCTGAATTGCAAGGAATATGATTATAAAAATAAAACAGTCACCTAATTAAATCCCATTGAGTAGAGAAAGTCATCAAATAAGATGGGTGTCGATAGTAATTACCAGAGTTGATGGATCAATGGGTGCCTTTCCATCTTTCCATGCAGCATCTAGATATGTCCTTAATGACATACCAACAAATACCTAAAACAGTGATGACCACGTTATGTGTCTCTTGAAGTTTCGAGATGACTCTTTTAAACAAAGATTGACATTACAATTCACAAAACTAGAAAGCATACCAGCTTTCTGCCAGTCAAATCAGCTGCAGCTTTCACACTTCCAAGACGATGAATATTTGATGCAAATTGAGTAGTAATAACTCTTCCTTGGCAAGCTGAAATATTCCTCAACAATGAATCTGCAACAACTGTTTCACTAATTGTCCTTCCTGGTGAGAGTATATTTGTTGAATCGCTCATCATCTGAAAATTATCGTAAATTTGTAATTATTGAAATGCATTTTGTGTTCTGAAGAAGATTTCAAAGGTAAACAGAAACCCACAATATATCACAATTTAGAAAAATATGATGGTCAACAATTAATTTTCCACCCAGGTAATTATCATACCTAAAACAACTTATGATCTTCAAGCTTGGGACAATTAAGAAGACAAGTATGAGTGACACAGTTCATGCTTCTCAACACTATAACCACATTTAGCATTACATATTAAGCCTTTTCCCCTTCATTTCCCTGTTTAATCTGTTCCAGCAACTAGGCTATGTCGGTCAATTTTGAATGCATTTTTAGTTCTTATCGGTCATCCTAAACATTTAGACCATTTTGCTCATCCTATAAAAAGCTCACTAGTGTTTCCTTCACAAACCTTTGCAATCAACTAATTAATACAAAATATTTAATGGTTAATTTCAATATCCACTTCATTACACTCAATGTTATCCAGCCAAGAAGCATTCAGCTTTTGTAGCATAAACTGGAAATATAGAATGAGTGGCCTTATGATAGTTAAGACGTCTTGCTCATGTTTCTTAAGGTTATCACGAAATATCGGCCAAACATAACAGTAATTGCATGATCCAGTTGCACTCATGTTCCACTAAGATGGAATTTTCCTGTCAACACGTCATTGGGTAAGATGCCTGTTGAAATACCATTTTTCATGTATAGATATACAGATAACGCCTATATCAAGAATAACTGACATTGAAAGGGGATATCAATAAACACAAATTTTAGGGCTCACCAAAGATACTCCTTCTCTTGAGAGTTCTTCTAGGGCCTCACGGTCAAAAGTTCTCCCATCCAGTGGTGACTCGTCTATCTGTCAAAGGAAAAATACTTGTGCAGATCATAGACAGATTATAGATACGAGACTAAAGCATACAAAAGCAAAGAAATAAATATATGAAAAAAATACCTTCCAGTCCCCCGTATGAAGAATAGTACCATCAGCACAGCGTAAAACCAACCCAGAACAATCAGGAATAGAATGTGTGACCGCAATTGGTTCAATTTCAAATGGCCCCGCGACAAATTTTCTCCGTGTCTTAAATACTTTAAGTCTAGATGGGACGAAGATCCCAAACTCCTTCAATCGCTTCTTAATAAGCTGTTTAGAAAAAGGAAAAAAAAAAAAAAAAAAAAGGAAACGGTTATCCACCTTTTACAACACGCAGCAAAATGTTAAGGTGCTTACATGATCAGGAACATCAAGAATGTATCAACAATAATGCACATCCTATACCTCAAAAAAATGGTAGAACTGGGGTTGCTCCCCAATACATAATTATGTAGAACATTTCCAATATTCTTTCAATTTCCAAAATTTCATGTCTTGTCGGGTAAGGTAATAGCTATTTACGTTATTTGGATTTCAAATGCAATGATGAGTAAGATAGGACTTCTCTGAATTCTTGAGGATGTTTGAGAAGTGTTTATCAACCAATTAAATTATAAATAGATAGAAATGAGAGGTGGATAAGTGGGCTGTATTTATGGATCCTTTGAAATATGTTAATAAAAAGTAGATTAAGCATTTATAAACAATTTATAAACATGAGCAAAACATATATTTAACAGCGTATTAATCATGCCAGCACAGAATAAACAGTGTGAAATGTAAACAAGATATTCAAGTAACTGATCAAACCATAACGACAAACCTCCATTGTGAAGGATGAAGCAAATATTGGTGTATGAGAATCCAGAGCCGGAATGACCTGTTTAAATGGAATCAAACAAGTGAGCATATAATTGATAATCTGAGACTAAAAAAGGAGAATTATGAATTTAGAATGAAACATTAAGAAAAAAGTAAAGTTCCACAAGTACTTGTGGTAACAAAAATAATATATACTGACAAAAAGAACAGGAAAATTGATATGTCTCTATGACACATAAAAATGTTGGATTCTCTAATCATGAAAGTTTGAGAATATACGGGCTCAGGAAAATACACAAATGGAATTATTTTACTAACTTTCCAAATGGTAAAATTATTTTTATAATAGCAGGGAGATTGATGCAAAACATCAGACACATATCCCCTAATATTGTCCAAGTAGTAAGTATCCAATATGACAAAAAGTATGAAGAGTTTATGTAACACTAATACACCTTGAGAATAGAAGTTAGAACAGAAATAGAGACTCTCAACATGAAAGTAGGAAGTCGTCTGAGGACAAGTTCTCATTACAGGCTAGAAGATGTTATCTTTAATTTATAGCTAGATATTAGAAATTCTTGGATCCTATGTAAATTAAAGAAATGGCAGTAGTATTATTGTTTTTCTAAATATACAAACTGAAACATCTTAGAGGTGATTGGTTTAGTGCTTAAAAGTTTGATTCCTCTTCTTATACGGAGTGTAGGCAACGCCTAATGGTTAAGTACTCAACTTGATTAAGAGTATTCGATAACATTTAAGTGGTACTGCTTTCTAGCTAAAAATCAGTTCACTATCCTATGCACTTCTGGTATTAAAGTGGATCAATCATAGAATGGTAAATTTCAAGTGTGCATGTTAATGGTAAATTTTGAATGGGAGTGTGTTTTTAGAAACAGAGACACATCACTTGTAAGTTATAACTAAATAATACCATATTTAGAAAATATACCACACTCCCACTCAAAAAATATAGGTGTAGTAGACATACAAGCATGTAGAATATTTCATATAAAATGATAGCATAATATACTCGTACACTATATCATTAATAATGAAAAGAAAGTTTGTTTGTATTTTTTCATTATCTGGTAAATTCAATAGTTTGAAACTGAATTTCTAACCAAACAATTCTTCATATTGAAAATTCAGTATTTCAATCATCGCTTATTCAGAAATCAGTCAATGTTTAGTCAGTTCTTAGATTTCAGTAGCATCAAACAGCCTTATTTGATAAGTAAATGAGGATGAGATGTACCACAAAGTAAATGGAAGATATTTAAGACTTGCACTGTAGCAGCAATACTAAATACTAATCTCCACTAGCAATTGTCTTCATATCACTATATTCTCAAATTTTCTTTTTCTTTTTCTTTTATTCTTTACAGTAACAGCTAGTATGTAATTGCACATCGCCCTAGACTAATTCCAAATATGATAGCCAGAAATCGGACTTACCCCACATCCAAAGAGAGACAATGGCGAACACTGATAAGCTTTTGAGGACCAGATTTCAATTTGTTTCAGTTGATCAATATGCATCAAAGAGATTCTATTCTAAATAGATTGCTCATATGATTGACTAATGAATGATTTCAAACCATCAACGAAACTTATAGAAGCCTTTAGAAACTGAATTTAAGATAGGAAGACTTAAGCCCAAGGGGAAAGGCAAAACAACAGTAAAAAGTTATGAAATGCGCAGAGAAGACTCTATGTGCCCTTCTTTCCACAGCACATTTATACCTCTTCACTTTCTTCAAGAAAGTATTTCAAGAAGAGAAAGCATGTAAAAGAATCTCCCACTGAATTTATATAGTTTATATGTCATTATAAAGAATAAGATTTTCGAGAAACAGATGGAAAATTTACCCAAGGCAACGCACCAATGTGGTCTTCATGACCATGGGTGATAACAACAGCTTCAATTTTGTGGCTCCATTTCTTGATAAACGTTGTATCAGGTATAATCTTCTGGACACCAAGCTCATCGTAGCTGGAGTACATAATCCGTGAGTTAAGAATGAATAAAGGATAAAGGAACTAAATTAACAAAATTATGTACTAGAATGGGAGGAAAAAGCTAAATTGGTGCATCTTCCAACCCAACTTTCAGTTTTGAGTGTTTGACACAATTGATAATGTCAGGCTAGGGAATTTTTCTCATCGACCAGTTTTCATTATACAAACAAATGCTCTTCAGTATGCTTTTCAAACAACGATGCTGAAGCAAAACAAAAGCAAAAGAGCTTCTTTACCTAGCGGATACTGATACTAAACAACAGCTAAGGTACTCAACATTTGAAAGATCCAAGTACACCAAATTTATAAGAACTTACTCTGGAAACATCACACCAGCATCAATCAAAATGTACCGATCATAATTCCCTACCAGCATGCAATTCATCCCAATTTCTCCTAGACCACCAATCGGTAATATGCGTAATGGAGGGCCATGGGACCCTTCATAAAACTGCTCCATCTTGCGTTTAACTGAATCTTCCATGCTCTTTCCAGGTCCTTCTTTTCTTCCAGACCGTCTACGTGGTACTCTGGAGCCACTGGAACCCCGTGAACCTGCACAGAGCGATAATCAACCATCTAATCTACAAATTAATCAACTTACAAAGGTCCAATGAAAATTTATATATGCATCAAGCAACTACTTTGAAAACCAATTAGGCTCAGAATAGAAAAAAACGTAATATATCAAATTTTTCATGGAAAAGGTAGGAAAATATCGGGAAAAAGCGATTAATAACACTCTCAGCAACTACTCAATGCTAAAAAAAATTATTTGTTCATCATACGATTTTATTAACTAAACAAGAACATATGAAAGAACAAAACATTTATGATTTTTCCACTAATTTTTAATTCCAATTTAATTACTCCCAAAATGTCTGCATATTGTGACAAGAAAATGAGTTAACAAATTCCTTTTAGCAACATGAACAGGAAAATAACAAGAAAACACAAAGCCCATAAAAAAGAAAGAACTTTATATGGTACCATATCATATTCGACAGCAAATAAACAAAATTTACTGAGGGTATTGTATATTGCATACTCTTTGCGGGGGACGAAGGCGTACAGCAAGAAAAGAAGCATCTTCTAGGTTTTGGTTGACACCAAAAAAACTTGTTAGTGCATAGTGAAGTCGCACTCAAAGCAGCCATCCTAATGTATAGATGCAAATAATGTGTTTGTATATCTATATCTTCATATAAAGCTCATAAAATTTGGGGGCAAAAAAAAAAAGGAAGCTGGGGTTTGAAATTTAATCCCAGAAAAATTATTTAGCGTGTGTTTGTGCGTGTTTTTGCAAAGGTTTAAGAAAGGGAAGCAAAGAGCAAGAAGATTGCTTTGTAAAGTGAAAGGGTAAAATATCTATCTTATCCAACATAAGAGATCATGGTCCCAAAATAAAACGCGATATCTCTCATTCAAGGTGAAGTGCGAGTTTAGTTTCTCAGAGAGTCGTGTTGTTGTACTTTGTATCATTTGAATAGAATTTAGTATATTCTTTTCTTTATTCTCTAAATCTCTTTTCGAGTATGATAGTGAACTTTATATTGAAAAAGGTAGTACAATGTTTAACAAGAATTGTGCAATTAGATTGTAAGTAGCTATCTTCGATGTTATATTTCATTTCTCACGAGAAAAAGATTGTTAAAACTTTTCTTCTCGTATCTTATTTCTACACATAAAATAAAAATGGGATTCTCATGCTTACTAGAAGCTAGAAAAGAAAAAATGGCAACATATGAAGAGTATTTTATAAGAAAATACGGTCTATAGAGCATATCAAAAAACGAAAAGAGACAGAGACAGAAAAACAATATATTCTCTTATTTCTCGAATAACCTACTTTAGTGATAAATTATTTTGGAGCCTCAAGCTTTGTTAGAGTGAGATTCTTGTTCCTTAGATATACTTTTGCATATTGCATTGTAGATAAATAGCGGAAGACTACTTTAGGGTTCATCTATGAATCTAAAAAATAATATTGAAACCACATGTTCTGCTCATTATTTCTTTTGTTACTTCCAAAATAGCCAATGAAATCACTGACATGTGCACAAATCAAGAAACTACAGCAAAATGGCTTAATTGAGATGAAAACAAGCGAAATGGCATTGAACAAATAACCAACTGGTATTTTATGCACCCAAAAAATAGAAAGGTAAGAATTATTTGAGTTCAAGATCTTTGTTCTCCATCTGCAGTTGATTGAACTTGGGCTGCATACTGCAAGTTCCAAAGAACATCCTCGAAAGATGGATGAGTCGAGGATTCGGGAGAAACACATTTGTTCGCTATGGATATGATAATCGATAGAGATTCTTGAGAGCAAGACATGAGTACAGAAGGGTCAACAATTCGCCTCTGGCCACTAGGAGTACCTAAAAAAACCTGCAAAATGTAGAAGTAAATATCTAGATATTCCGAAAAAGTTAAATGCAGATTGGATGGACAAGCTAGAAAACATAAATTGAGTGTTCGGGTTCGTAAATTGAAGGGAATCAGTGCTTAAAACAATGCAAGGACGACAAAGGAGAATGAACTTCTCTAGACAAAGATAAACAAATGTAAAAGTACTCTTCTGGAGAGCAAGTACCAAACCAAGCATATTTGGTTTTAAAAAAAAACCCAAACCAAGCATATCTGGGGCAAAAAAAATAGGGGGAGTTCTTTAAAAGTAACTTTAAGCTTAACCAAACATGATCTAACAGATCCTCAACTATGACCACTTGCAATGCTCTCTTCAAAAACTTTAAACGAGAATCAAGAACTTTCTACACTTCCATTTTTAACAAACGGGTTTCTGTTCTTCCGTTGTTTATAGATAGAAATTCAGGGAATTATTATTTAACAGTCTCTGCTTTTGAATATATTCTACGCTGCGTACATTGTGTGCTATATGGAAAATCTGTTACCATCTCATTAAGCAAAAATGTCTCGTTTCTCGCTGAGAATGAAGGACCAATTAGCGAGTGGAGTAATATCAGTCCGAAGCTATAAACATCATCCTCCATTCTCTTTATATGCCTGCAAACGCATCACCAGAAAGGAAAAGGTTATATCGTATGCGCATTAATCTACTCTTGTTGCAATGATTCATTGATCTGAGGGAACTCAGTACCAGGATTTAAGGCCTCCTTCTGCCTAACAACCAAAAAAACCAGAAATAATAGTTAGTCGCCCACAAGATTTTAATTTTTTCATTCTTTATACTGTCTAGTAGCATCTAATCCACCTTACCAAACCAGTGAGGCATTAAAATACATACCTTGTGCTCGTCACTCTCTTGGACTACAATTGACAGTCCATAATCACTCAGCTTTCCCATCTGATGCTGATTCAGCAATATATTGTTGGCCTTCAATCGATTATTGAAGAAACCGGGAATAATTCCAGTGTGGAGAAAATGCACAGCCTTGGCAACACCAATTAGAATTGCCAGTCTGTCGGACCATTTTAGTATCTTCTCGGGATTAATTTCTGCATAGATAATAGAGTAAGATTCAGTCGAGAACCATAAAACATCAATTTCTGCCTCTATTTTTATCAGTTAAAAGATTAGAAATATTTCAATGTTAGTAATCACAGATATCTAAAACAAACTTCTTTGACAGTGCTATCCTCACCCGAAAGACGAGCTTGATAATTCCCATTGGGTACATATTCGTATATGAGGTAGACATCGTTTACACCAGATTCATCCTTTCCTTCATTCTGGATGCAGTGCCCCAAGAGGCAAACTAAATGAGGATGCCGGAGCTTAGCCAGCAAATCGAGTCTTAGTTTGAGATTTCGAATGGTGTATCTTTTTGACACAGTTAGGCACCGTATAGCTACTTGAGTCCCGTTTTCCAGTCTTCCTTTGTACATCTGAGAAGGAAACCATGAGATACATTAGTCCAAAGGCCAATGCGTATATATGCTAATGATATATTAAATGCTTCTTTCGTTTTGAAGGTGCCAATTTTCATTGCTAACACAGTGCATGATTGGTATGTAGGATTTTACAGCAGTGGACACTAGAATACATAAGATTTTTGGCGTCTTTTTGTTCCTTAATACTGTCCATCACTGATCATTCCACCTTGCCAAATAAGCCACTAAATCATAACTATGAAAATAAAACTAAGAGAAGTTTATACCTTTCCTGTCGAACCTTCACCCATCAAGGTGGACTTATCAAAATTATTTGTGGCAGCCTTTAGCTCGTCCAATGAAAACAGGCGATGTGCGGGTGTACCTTGTGAGTCTAACTTTGCTGCATCAGAAATAAACCCTAACGGAACAAAGGAGGAAGCTAAAATAGGCTCATCAAGTACAACAAAATGCAGATATCAAGAAAGTTGAGTGATGACTTACTAGCATTTGTTAAAAGCTCAGAAGTGAACCCCGTGACAGAATTATCTTGCACTGACTTATGCAATAAATGCTGCTCCGATGTCCCTCGAGGACAATATTGTCGACACAAAACAAGAAATCCATAGGCCAAAAGCCCCATAATAACAATAACTCCAACAATGACACCAATTAATACTCCCAAATTTTTCCCTTCCGATTTTTTCTTCTCTTCATGGGGTTCTGCACAATATGTTTCTGGATGCTGATGACTAAGATCAATCGACAGGCAATTACCTCCATACTTTATACCTCTAGTTTTTATCACAGAGCTCAAGCAGGAAGGCAGTAGACCTGTCAATTTATTGTTTGAGATATCGACTGACCCAAGCTTAGCGCCACAACTCAAGCGCATAGGAAGTGACCCACTTAACACATTTGACGCCAAGTTTAAAGATATTATACCAGGCAACGAAAAAAGTCCTGCAGGAGGTGTCCCTTTAAGGGTATTGAAAGAAAGGTCAATTTGCTGAAGCTGATTCAGTTGACCATATTGCTGAGGAATTCTCCCAGAAAAGGAGTTGTTGTTTAACAGAATTGTTTTCAGTCCTTTCGGCATATTTGGAAGTTCTGAGTCAAACTTGTTTTCGCTTAAATCCAGCCATTGTAGGCTCGATAAGGTACTAAGATTCGGTAACTTCCCGGAAATTGCATTGTTTGACAAAACAATAGCTGTTAAAGTGGTAATCCTTCTTATTGAAGATGGCAATGAGCCACTCAAAAGATTGTTCCTCAAACTTAAACTAGTAAAATTCGAAAACGAATCAAACCAATCAGGAAAAGTTCCATTCAAGAAATTCCCATCCAGTTTAACAATCTGAAGTTGACCAATTCTTGAAAGTGTTTGAGGAATAGAACCATATAGAAAATTCCAACTCAAATCCAAGTATTCAAGTGATTGCAATCTATGAATTTTATCAGGGATTGAACCCCAAATGCCTAATGATACCAAACTAAGGGATTTCAATCTATTTAGTCTAGAAAGGGTAGCTACAAGAGAATCCATGGAGAAATTTTGAGACAAAGTTCCATCCGAAACTCGAAATTCATTAAAATTACTAACCCTTTTTTGCTCATCACCAAAGATTACGATCCCAGTAACCAAATTGTTTTGACAAGTTATGTTCACCTGAGGGGTTGACAGATAACAGAAATCTGTGCTAGTATTGAGCCATAAATCTAACTGTTTAGGGTACTCTAATTGCTTCCTTAGCTGCAAAAGTACTTGGGTTTGGGAGGATTGTAGTTCATAGGTTCCCAAAACCAAGAAACTTAATGAAAAACAGATAAATGTCAAGAATCTTGAGCATTCCATGGACTTGTAAATGAATAACTTAATTAAAAACTGAAAATCCAACAAAAAATTTGTTGTGCAAGGTTGTTCATTAAGCTGATTCAAGATCCATCTCATCAAGAAAATTTCATAAGAATTACAAAACTAGGTGAAAATGACATTTCTAGAATCCCACAGAAATATGAAAAGAAACAGTTATAGTTTCATGAAGAGAAGCTCATAACTGCATTAGAAATGACACATTCTGAAAAAAAACCCACGAAAGAGATACCACAGATGGAAACAAATTGTAGTCCAAGGTTGTTCAAAAAGCGGATTCAAGATCCACTTCATCAAGAAAATATCAAGAAAGGTACAAAGCTTGGTGAAAATGACCCACAAAAAATAACCTGCAGATTTAAATAAAAGATCAAGAAAAGTACAAAACTTGGCGAATATGAGGATTTGCAGAAGTGGGCTACCCAGAAAGCTGGTTCAAGATTCAGAACAAGATCAACCGAAGCTGGAACAAGAGCAAAGCCGAAAAAAATAAGTGAAAAGAAGCAATTACAAAGTGGAGAATAAGGTTGTGTTTTGGTTGTAGAATCTTAAAAAATGTGAATTCAGAGCTCTTGAAGAATTTAATATTAGTGGGGTGTGTAACTCTTTCTTGAAAATTGAGAGATATTGGTATAATAATGGATTGGCAAGTGGGATCTTCAGAGGACAAGTTGGAGGTTGATAGTAAATTACTATATACTGCCATTGCCATGTTTCCCTTAGCGATGAGGGCTGGTAACAGAAGAGTGAAATACTGAAATATAAGAGAATCCATGCCAACTGCCATCATAATATGGAAAATGGTGATTATGTTCCCATCACTTTTTTTTTTTTTTAAATACGTTATATTTTAATACCATCAAAATTATTAATTTTTATTTATTATCAAGTTTATATTTTTATTTTATTTCTTCTTATTTTTATTTTTAACATTTTATTGATAAAAAATCTTACCCTTTAGCATGATTTTCGTTCAAAAATATTGTTAACGTAATTTAGATTAAGGTTAATATTCAATCGTAATTTTATATTGTTACTTGTTTTGCTTATTTAAAAATACAATAGGCAAATCAATTTTTTGTCTCTATCTTAAAAATAATAATGATAATAAAATAAAATGAAAATTGAAAGAGAAATAATAATCAGAAACACTTTATGTTAATTTGAAAATAAGAATATGATGAAAAAAGTTTGAGACGTACATTTGATAATATGTAAAGATTATTAAAATTTGTGGTGTGAATATATTTAGCCTATGAAAAATGATCAAATTGTTGTATTTCAAAATTGGGAATAAAGATTGTGGGATAAAAAAAATTAGGAAACATTTCATTATTAGTTTTTAATCCTCGGTCTGTGCAGCAACTAGCAAGTTAGTCCTTGATATTTAAAAAGGAATAAGTCGAATTTAATTTTTTATTAATAGTTATATAATTAGTTTTCTTAATTGGAAAACATTCATAGCGAGGTTAACTGATTTGAAGCTCCATATCCGATTGATTACACTTAAAACCGAAATGCAATTGAGGGTTTTGTGCTTTAAGTTGAATTTTGTCTAAGGCCTTGTTTGACAACTATAATTTGAGAAAACAATGTTTTAAATAATCATTCTTCGGAGAGCATGTGGTTAAAAAAATAGTAAAAAATTTCAGGTTTACGTATTAACTATTTTACTATGTGAATGTATGATTGAAAATGAATATATAGAAGTAATATTTTTTAAATGATGATTGATATAATGTTACTACTCTTGAATCGAGAAGAAAGTATGTCCGGAGAAATAATTTTTTATAAAATTAACTAATTGCTTATGCTATTATAATAAATATTGAGACTTGAAACTAATTTAAAACTTGGACAATAATGAAGCAGCCAATAATTGTTAGGTCGCTAAAAAGTGAAAGTCGGTTAAAATATAGAAAAAAAATTTGAGTATATATGAAGAATATTTTAATGTGAGAATGTTTGGTTAAAAATGAGTTTGAAAGAAAAAAAAAAGTTTTAAAAGGATGATTATAAAACGGGAGTTGAATACCCCCACTAAAAAAGTTAACTCGATTTAAATCACATATTATTTGATAAATATTTGCATGGAAACTTAAATAATTTTCTACTTCTAACAACACATTCTCCAACATTTACTATTATAAAAGTCATTTTCAACGAGAGGATGAGGTTCAAATGTGAACTTAATTTCAGTAATGGTCACTGGAGTTCAAGTAAAATTTCAAACTGGTCGCTAAAGTATTTGTGTAATACATCGTCGCTTATAGCAATTTAGGATTTTAAAATTGAATATGATGTATTTTCACGAATTGCCTTTTATATATATATATATATATAATGATTGTGGGCTAAAGTTCAATTATAATTAGTGACCATTTAATTATTAAAGTAAAATAATATTATATATTTAATCACATCTGTAGTGGCATCCACTTCAAATTGCATCCACTTCAAATTTTAAGTCGACTCGTTAAGACTTGACATTGACTAACTACCATTGTGTACATATAGTGAAATGATCTTAATTTGAAGTGGATGCCACTACAGATGTGAATAATAAATTAGAGGGAAATGAAATAATGTTACTTATGTAATTTTATATATTTTGAGAGGTCGGTAACGTCAGTTGTGGACCTTTAATGAATAAGCCAAACCTAATATTCGATTTGACATATCGAATTAAATAATCTATGTTCAATTATATAGTTTAATGTGTTGGAAAAATAATTAGTTGCAGCGGTGATCAGAACAATATAATGCAAAAATATAAAACTTATCGATCGAGTCTCGTGACAGCACGATGTCCTAAAGTGAAATTGCCCGTCAATAATTGCTGTGACCTCCGTGGACAATCACTCCTAGGATACAACGATCGTAAACCACTTATGCAGCAATCACGAATGGTTTTTCTAGAACTCTCAATTGTACTCCAGAATAGGTATAAAAACCCGAATATAAGAAATTCACAATATGAAAAGAGTGATTGATTCTATTTTATTTTTGTGTGTCTTTTCCCAAAGCAAGATATGGGTTTATATAGGCAAGATGGTAGTAACAGTTTTCACCATGTTAATGCAGAATTTTAATGACTGAGTAGTGGGTGTTTTAATGGCAGTTAGTGGGTTGTTACAAAAACAAACAGTCATAAAATACTGGCTAGTTTTACCCATTAAATAATGAAGAAAAAAAATATATTTATTTTAGTCAAGGAAGCCCAAGAGCCCAAGGCCCCAAGGCCCAAATCAAGACATTTTAATATTTGCGTGGGGAGTGATTCGAACCCCTGACGTCCCACACAAATGTCACATTTCCCACCACTTTGGCACTTTATCTAATTTGATTATTTCTTTCA